TTCTTAGTGCAAAATTGTACAAAGCAAGTAACCTAATTCTGAAATGTCTTTAAAAAATAAATAAAGGCAAACCAAAGTAATATTAAGGCTTTCTCAGAAGTACAAAACCTTTCTAAACATTGTATCTGAAATGTAATCTAGGGCAAGTATTCTGGTGCCTGCTGCATTAAAATGCCTTGCTGGAGAATTGATATCCTTTAAAACTACATTTTAGAGAACAGCCAGCTAAAATTCAGGTTGAAAATAGAGCTGTTTTAAAGTTTTAGAACTTCTATTCATCAACAGTACTTCTAATCAGAGAGAAATGTATTAAGAAGCCTTTTGTGGCTATTACTTCCTCTATTTAGGTTGAATTCTAAAATAAAATGTACGTGAAAACTAGTTTTTATTGTTGAAGGCGGATTGCAGTGGGAATGAGATTTTATGTGATTTATGTTTGAAATGTCATTGTATAGTAGGGTTTCCCTTCTTGTATAAAAGCWTGGCCTTGATTAAATGCATTGAGAAGCTCTTGTAGCTGGACTTTGTGTAAGTGGAACTGAGACTTGAAGGCCTCAGTTATTTATTGTAATCCTGCTGGATACGTGTGCAGTTCATGTTTGAGCCCAGGCTGGATGGGGCTCTGAGCAGCCTGGTGTAGTGGAAGGTGTGACTGCCCATGGCAGAGGGTTTGGAAACAGATGAGCTTTAAGGGCCTGTGCAACCCACACCATCCAATGATTCTATGTTGGTCCTATAAATATGTAAAGAGCACTCTGATGTGWGTAGTGTATCTATAAAAACATAGTGAATATTGTGACAGTCTTTAAGCAAGAACTAAAWTGTTTCTACAGCATTATTTTTAACCTGTTCTGTATCTTAAAATGGAAATGAGGAGGGGAAATCTTCCCAAAGGTTTTTGTAGTATCCCTTGAAGATTGTTTTTTCTTTTGATCAAATGGATACTCCAGAAGGATGGCTAATCTAGATAAACTAGGGTTAAGGAAAAAAATCCTGAATTAAGGTAAAAACTTTCACAGAAAGTGTCTTACTGTCTTCTCTTGCTTCTCAGTTATTCCCAGTGAAGGTGGGAAGCTGGGATCTGAAATTCTGACTCTCAGATATGCCATGGCTACTGTGTTGTCAATTAAAAAAATGTGTATGTCAGGTTTTGGTTGCATAAAATTTGATATTCTTAGATTGATTACATCTAGAAAACATCTTAAAATGCTGGGGAAACAGATCTTTGAATAAAGTTTGTCTAGTATTAATAACTTAGTTGGAACAAGTGTGCTGCCTGTTAAATAGCTATTGCTAAAGGTAGTCTCTCAAAAAAATTCAAGAGAAAGACCTGAATAGATAGTGTTGGATTGTTGGAGCAAAACATAATTTTATTTAATTCCACAAAAGGTAATTTCTAATTGTACACCGTCCCTTTAGATGCATTACTGCTCTAGGCACTACTGTGATGTCATGTTTTGCTCATATCTTGGTTTCCATTTATCTTTTACCTACTTTCTGTTGCATGTTTTACCTTCTTTGTTTTATCTCTTGCACTTCACTACTGTGCAGGCTCATACTCAACTGGGTGATGCATTTTATTCCATAAATACACCACAGTCCACTTGCARGGCACAGATATGTCAGGCAGTRWRTTKKGCWCAGGCYCTGCAGAGAGACCTCGACAAATCAGAGGTCTGGGCAATCACCAGYCATGTGAAATTTATCAAGGGTGARTGCCAAATTCTGCACTGGGATGGGGAAATCCTGATTGTGTGTAAAAACTGGGGAAGGGGAGGCTGGAGGGCAGAGCTGAGGAAATGGACCTGGGGGTCCTGGATGATGGGAATTCAAACATGAGCCAGCAGTGCCCTGGCAGCCAGGAGGGCCAGGGGTGTCCTGGGGGGGATCAGGCACAGCATCACCAGGGCAAGGGAGGGGATTGTCCCGATCTGCTCTGGGCTGCGGTTTTGGGGTTTTGGGGTTTTGGGCACTGCAATATAAGAAAGACATTAACCTATTAGAGAGTGTCCAGAGGAGGCCATGAGAGTGGTGAAGGGCCTTGAGGGGAAGCCCTATGAGAAGCTCCTGAGGTCACTTTGTTCAGCCTGGAGAAGARAYCCTGAGAGGGGACCTCATTGCGGTCTTCAGCATCCTCACAAGGGGAAGTGGAGGGGCAGAAACTGAATCTCTTCACTCTTCTAACCAGTGACAGGACTGGATTGAGGTAAAAACAGTTTATTAAATGAAGAAAACCCCAAAACAAAAAAAAAAAACAAAACCCACAAGCAATGCTTACCACCAGCAGACTGACACCCAACCAGGTCTTGAGCAGGGGCAACTTTGGAAAAACTGCCCCTCAAACTTATTGCTGAGCTTGAGGTTCTAAGGTCACCATCTCCGTCACCATCATCAGCTCTGAGAGCCTGTGCCTGTCTGCAGCTCACTCTGCCCCCTCCTCTGATCACCCAGGCCTCAGGTCGTAAATTATCTTAAGTCAGCAGTGTTTTATGTTCTCTGTAAATTAAACTGCTTCAACATGATTAGAGTTTGGAGCTATGCTCTCTACTTGACAACATTTTGATGTCTTTCATGTTTCTAAAATATCAAATGTCATGTTCGTGATTTTTTTTTTCCTGGTATGATGATCTTTATGTTGAGTACCATATAGAGATGAAGGCAAGGCTGTGCTTGCAGGAATTTGTCTAAATTTAATTTCCGAGTGGTTGGAAAAAGTCTTCACAATCTCAATTTGGATTCTGTAATAGGGATCATCTTTTAGAAAAATGCTGTTGAAAAAGCTCATAAAATTCTTATCTGTTTAAAAACACTAGCATTAATTTACCGTGACCTTTGTAAAAGCTGCTTTTATTTGCAATGTGGCTCTGTTAGAAAAAAATGTAAGGTTATAAGGAGAGACTTTATATTTGAAAACGTTGCATTTTGTTTTTTTAATCCAGGCAGACTAAGGGAAAATGCACTTTTAAAATAAAGTTGTTAAAATATTTTGATGAGGTCTCCTCAACTATGTTTAAGGAAAGCTATCCTTAGTGTTAGACAGAAGAGTGTCATGAGGATCCCACATCTTCCTAGATATAAATGTTGGAAATAACTGGACAAAGGGTTTGTTCTAAGATTTGAAAAGTGTTGAATCACAACACATGGTCTGTAGAGAACATTACCTTGTCCAGGTGCCATAATGGAGGAAAATGGGAAGCAATTTTGCTCCTAAGATTTGCCAGTTGAGACAATTATTGGCCTTGTGGATTCTCCTTTGACTTAACAAAACTATGTTTTTCTGCCCTTTAATGGTGTATCCTGAGACAGCCAGCTTAGTCCACTCCTTGCATGTTCTTTCATTGCAATGTCAAGAAAAATGTTGGTTAAAGATCGCTAAGTCTTTTTCTACCTCAATTCCTACAAGTCTCCTAAATAAATTTTTTTCCTGTTAATTGATAATGCTTACACAGAAATGTCATTTACTGTATATATAACTTTGATAATGTTGGTGCCCTTTTTTCTGATTAAATGCATCGTTTTGAGCACTGCACAGAGAAAAATCTTGTATGCTTGTTTCATGTAAAATTACAGCTATGTATTTGGGTGTGCACACAAATACTGTTTTCTGTACCTCTGAAGTTATTAATGGAAAAAGAAGCAGATGGTATTTCGGGTGATTCAGTCTTTGTTCGGATAACTTATAGAATATCATTGTTGGTGTTTGGATGGCTTCCAAGTTCTTTTCAGAAAAAAAAAAATCTGATTTTCTGGTTGTGTTTAAAACAAAATTAGAGGGTTACTTTATATGGGACATGAAAAAAATGAGGGGTTTTTTTATTAGAAGAAACTTCTGAATAAATGCAGAATTTTTAGTATGTCATATGCATTTCAATCTAGCTCCATAAAAAAAGGGATGTGGATCATGCTTTAATTACCAAGATAGCTGCCTGTTTTAGAAGAAAGATGAACAGGTTGCTGAGAGTGCGAGGTTAATGCTTTCTGCAGCAGTCAGATGGCATGAGAACATTTGGGTTACCTCATTTCAAAACACGGAAGAGCCATGTTTTAAAATGAGTGGGTAGGATGAACTCTTTCAGGAATTACATGTTTTTAATTAGTGTGTCTAATAGTACTTACTATTTTTGAGTTACATGTAAAACACTTAAGAATTTGACAGTTATTTATACCTTGTGAAATAACTCAAAATTTTAACTTTTTACAAATGTAGTTTTCAAAGTACAGCCTAACTTTGCAGCTGCAGAATTGTGAAATGTATTTTATATTGAATATTTTATAGTCTATGTATGTCACAATTATCTGAAGTGCTATGCTTGTAGCTTTTATAGTGAAGGAAGCCACCGTATATACAGATACTAAGCAATTTAATTKCATGTATTTTTGCAGTTATTTTAGTTAATACACTCTTTAACTAGTATTCTACAGTAGTGTGTCATGCATTTGTTGATTGCTAGGTTTAGTTTTGCTGAAAAAGTTGAATGTTTTAACTGGTCATGCATTATATTAAAAATGTATTTATTTTAGAGCAATCATTGCAAAACATGTTATGCCTATTAAAAAAAAACCAGTGTACACAGAGGCATATATACAAGTCACATTGTGCAAAATACTATGTAAATTCCTTTTATACAAATAGAAATTTTATATAATATGTCTTAATGGATTGTATTTACATTGGTAGAAGTCTGTCTAGGCACAATATGACTTCTTGTTCAAATATGTTTAGGAAAACATATACCACTTTCAGTGATGTCTTGCTATTTAATTCTAATAACATTGTAATTTCAGAAAAATGGTTTTTCACTGTTTGTTAATTTGTAAATATTTCTGCTAGCTTCAGATTCTGGAAGTCTGTGCTTAGTTATTTTTAACAGGAGAAATTATGTCTTACTCAATGTTGTATAAAGTTGTAACAACACAGTGTGACTTCTAACATAATTCCTGCCTTGTGCTACCAATTTTTTAGGCTAATATTTTATTGATGGTACTTTTGTTTTCTTCAGCTGACAGCACGATCACTGCCTTCCATACAGTCTGATGAGAGACTTCAACCTCTGCTTAATCATCTCAGGTAAACTGAAAACATGAGTATATTCCTTCATACAGGTTAAAGTAACTGCTTTGGTAGAATGTCTTAGGTACAGGTTTATACAGCCCTCATCTGTGCAATTGGATTTCACTGGAAAAAAAAAAAAACCAAAACAAAAGTAACTCTTCAACTTAACAAAAGCTTTATATGACATGGAACATAATTTATAGAACTAGTGTTGCTTCTAAGTCACAAAAAATAGTTATAGCTTTTATAAAATTTGAGTTTTTTTGCAGCAAGTGTGAAGTTGTTAAGCTTCTTTATGAACAAAACAGATTACAAATTGCACAGCTCAGAGCATGGGCCTTCCTTGTTGCAATCGTTTTATGCTCTCTGCTCTTTTTGGAAGATTTCATGTCATTGATGAATGGATGAATTTGTTCTTTAAATGTCATTGATGAATTTGTTCTTTAAATGGACCTGAAGAGATTGCTGAAAGTGTGAACCACTGGAGTAAAGTTTGCCTCACTCTTAGTAGTATGAGAGTGTATAAATATATATTTGTATGTGTGTGTATAGATAAGCTTTCTACTTTTTTTGTAGGAAAGGGTAAGCATAGATCTCTAGTCTCTTGATTATATACATGATTACTTTTTATCACTTTGTATGGGAGAGTTTTCTTACTATAGTAAGACAAGGTCTATACAATTAGAGGGAGATGGTTTAGAATCATGGAATTATTTGAAGTGAACCTCTGGAGATGATTTAATCAAGCCCCTGCTCAATGTGGTTAGATGTGGTTAGAGCAGGAATTTATTTTTGTTGAATTTTTAATATCTCTGTGGATAGAAATAAACACTGGATGTCAGTAACGAAAACTCTGTTTTTGAACACATACAGCTTAGCATTAAGATCACTGAAATGATGTTGGATGAATTAGAAATGGAAATGTTGAGGTTCCATCATGGCACTACTGCATGGGGAATTAGGGTGCAGATCTAGTTTGTTAGATAATGCTCCTTATTACCTATGGTGCTCTACTGCTTGAGGTATCTGTACCCAAATATGACATTTTATTTTGATTTTAAAACATCTCATGATTTTTATAATATAGGAAGAGTTTTGTGTTTTGCTGTTTTTAGTGAAAATCAGAATAAGAATAATAGCTTTCATTGTATCTCTGCTTATTTACATATGATTGAACTTTGTTCAAGAGCAATGAACGAAAACAGGGATTGCAGTGTTATTCTTACTGTTACATAGCTGGGGGTGCTTCTGAATGCCAATAACCTTCCATGATTTTATTACCCTGCATCTTAATGGGATTGTAAAAAATATGCCTCARTGGTGTACCTTTCTCCATTTGAAGATAAAGAGCAATTAAGTTAGCTTTTTATAAACTGTGCTCTCCAGGAGTAATTGCTGAGAAATTGAGAATTTCTTTTGATGTATGCTGTGCATATCTCCATGTAAGTGGAACAGTCCTTCAGTATCACAGTGATCAGTCCTGTTTGTGCTTTTCTTTTTTGAACAGGGGGAAAAGGAAAGGTTCCAGAAAAAGCTACTTTAACAGTATGCTGTAACAGATACTTGTTTAACAGTTATAGATACTATACCCTACATTCATGATAACTGGTATTTTTTGTACATTCTTAGGTTATTTTGGGTATGTGGTAAATTGCTTCCATTTTGGTTTTGTGAAAATGGAGGGACTATTTCCGATTTATTTTGTCACAAACTGAAAAAATACAAATGCTTCCAAGTTGCCTTTTTGGAWWTTTTTTTWWAATGAACAAAATATATCAGAGCTTGCAACTTGAAAAGCCACCTTTGGCAGTGAACAGACGGGTGACCAAATAGATCATCTTTGTTATTTATTTCTGTAAATCTGTGATTCATTTTTCTTCATCTTGCTCATAAGAAAGAATATTAGCTAGTTGTGGACTTTCTTTTACCTTCATTGTCTGGACTCTTAGAGCAGTATTTCATTTTTGGCATATGCCAACAGACATCTGTCAGGGAAGCAAAAGCTTAGAAATGAATGAAAAGACCATACAGTGGAAGGTTACAGAGCATTGTTTAGTTGTTAATGCCCTCCCCATTTTTGGTGCCTTTTCATACCTGCTTGTGATTTACAAATTAGCTATTCCTCAGAAAAGGTGATTTTACTGTGGATTATGTCTTCATAGACATTTTAACCTATGCCCGTTATTTTTTTAAAAGGAAGTAACATGTATCATGTAATTGGATGGTTCTGGACTAAATAATGCATTTTGTCTGTGAGTTAGTACTCTTTTTATCCTATTCTGCTTCGCTGGTGCTTTCTAGTACTATTTGTCCTAGACCAAAAAAAAGAGAAAGTTTTTGTTAAAATGTTGAAGTATTTGATTCAAGATTGTGTTTAAGGATTTCACATGCTCACAGTAAGCTACAAAGGGATTTAGCTTGCTGACACTTAAAAAATTTAAAAGAGATGGAAACTTAATATCTCAATGTGTGAGAAGAACACTTTTGCAAGTCCTGCTTTGTATGGGGTTTACAGGCTTGTAACACTACTGTTTAAAATATTCAGCTGGAGTAATTTGAGATGGACAAAAGCTGTTGTATGTAACCCCATCATGCTCGGTAGCAGAGGGCCTATACATGAATTGTAGAAGCTGAGTTAACTCAGTTAATTGGAGAAGCTGAGTTAACTCAGTTTAGTCCAGTGAAAAAGAAGCTTTAGGGGATATCAAATAGCAGCCTACAACTGTTTGAAGGACAAACATTGTCTTATTGGACTTTTCGATGGTGCCAGAGGATTTAACAAATGACAGTGGTCACATGTAGCAGCTTGGGAGGTTTAGATCAAACATCAGCAAAAATGTCTGTGCTAGAATGATAGTACAGCAGTTGGCCAGAGGTAGGTAAGTTTAGTTCATGGAGATTTTTAGGATTCAGTTAGAAAAACCTGTGGCTTACCCTGCTAGTGTTGGCAATAATCCCATTTAAAGTGGGGTGTGGGACTAAATAGTCTTTTAATGTCCTTTACAAGCAACATTTAAATGATGCTGTTAGTTCTATCTTCAAATGATGGTTCATAAGGGTGATACAGAAACCAAGTGTTTTGCCAGACAGGATTTTTTAAATGAATAACACAGTACACATGCAGACACATTCACCCTCCATCTTACTTACGCTCATCTTACACAAGCAAGTAAAGAAGAATGCATGCCTTCACAGACTGTTGTTGTGCACTATCCTTTTATTGCCAGGGAGGTGGAACATTGGAACAGATTGCTCAGAAGGTTGTGAGTCTCTGTCYTTGGAGATGCTCAAAACCCAGCTTGATGAGATCCTAAGAAACCTGTAGCAAACACCACTTTGAGCATGGGTTTGGGCTMGATGATCTTCAGTGGTCTCTCTCAACCTCAAGAGTAATGTGATCCTATGACCTAAATCCTCTGTGACTCCTCATCTTTCCTTTCAGATAAAGGGAGAGAGGGTTTCTTTACTGTGTTGGCTTTAATGCTGGCGTTAAGATTCCTAATTACTTGGTTTCTTGTTTTTGCCTGATACGAAATATTTGCAGCCCATAATTGATAAATTATTTTCTTTCTAAATTTCTAAACTTAAAAATATTTTGGAACTGCTTGAAATGATGCCATATTGTTTACTTTGTTTTTCAGCCATTCTTACGTTGGCCCGGATTACAGTGTCCAAAAGAACACTGGAAAAATTTCTCTAGAGCAGATCGATGCTGTAAGTTGTGTTTCTGGAGTTACATGGGATGTTGAAGTATAATTTTTTCTATGCAAGTACTCAATATACAAACAAAATATAAAACCTTTATCTTCTTTTTATTCATATTTGCTTTGTAACTGTTGAATGAAATTTAGTTGAAGTTCAAAATAGAGAAATTAACTGAAAATGCATCTAAGCATTCAGAGTGAAGGATTCGATCTAAGGATTCAGAGTGAAGTTACAGTGAAGTAGTTAATTTGCTGTTTAATTCTATGTACTTTCATGAATACCTAACATAATTATAAACAGAATTTAATGAAATTTTCTTATTTAACAGTCTTGCAAACTGTAGTGTTTGGTTTATGATTCCTGTGTTGCAGTATTAGTCTTTTCAATGCTGATTTTTGATTTTTGACTTACAGGAGGGGTTTGGAAAACAAGGAAGTAAAATACAATGGAAGTAAAACATAGGATGTAAAATAAAACACCATGCATAAATTATACAGAGTCAATTAAAACCATAACACCTTTATCTGAGTTTAAGGGATTGTGTGTTTTCAGTGTCCATCTTAACCATGATGGAGTGTTTCTCTGGCAGTGAAGTCCATGGCATGACTCGGATGTTAAAAAATAGCAATGCAAAGCCCAAATAAATTCGAACCTTACTTTTTTTTTTGTTAAGTCTTTGAGATGTTGCTTTACAAGAAATAATATTCTTCAGGGAAAAAAAACCCTCCTGCAGATTAGTTGCAAACTTGCTTGTTGTTTTTCAAAGATTCTTAAAAAAAAAAATCTGCTTCCCTTCCCCAACTCCCCATAACTCTATCAGAGTTACCACTTTGCCATTCCAGCTGCTAAAATAAAGCATAGTCAAGAAACATTGTAATTAAAGTTTGAAAATATTTTTCCTGAAAGCAATTAAATGTGTGTTACTTTGTAGCTGGAGACAGTCTGATACTACCACTTGTAGTACTCTGTCCTTTGGATTTTGTTCCTGAGATGGTTATGGAATAGTTTATGGACTCACTCACTTGTGTTGTGAATTCAGCCCCAAGGCTCTCTGTACATGCATATCTTTTCTTCCAGCCACTGGCATTTTCAAATAGAGCTGATTAATAATCACAGTAAGCATATATCCTACAAATCAAATGATCAGTGTGCCTTAAACAGAAATCCTTCTCTTGGTAGCTGTCTGTGAAGTCCTTCCCTCTCTGCATGCGGCAGTTGCACAGAGCCCTCCGTGACAACCACCACCTCCGGCACGGGGGCCGCATGCAGTACGGGCTGTTCCTGAAAGGCATCGGCCTCACTCTGGAACAGGCACTGGAATTCTGGAAGAAAGAATTTATCAGAGGAAAAGTGGATGCAGATAAGGTAATTCAACAAATTAAAAATATATCAATGTGTAAATGTGAGGATGTAGTTAACTTGTACTTTGTGCTATGGATTTGAATAGATGCTTTTTGAGGTCGATAATTGGGTAAAAGGTACAGTAATGTGTTTTAAAGGTGGGAGGGATTTTTTTGCTCTCTTTGCTTGTAATTTTGGTCATTTTATTGGGTATTCACCTGAACTGTGGGTAAACCAGGCAGTCCATAAAGAGGCTTTTTACAGATGAGGACTACGAAAGTCTTATGAGTAAATTACTAGGAAACCAATGTCCTTTATGAAATACAGGTACTATGTAACTAAATTAATCCACCAAGCAGATAAGTGACCACAAACAATATATCTGAAAGACAAGGTTAGCCTTTTTTGTTGTCCAAAAAAAAAATTAATTGAACAGTTATGTGTAAAGTTGTCTTGCCTTAGCAAATTTACAGTTGAAGAATGAAAGAAGAAACTGGAGACAAAAGACAGAAGAATATGTTCTAGGAAATAGTGAGAAAATACTGCTCAGTGCAGTGGGAGGCATTACTGGCATATTAGTCATTGGCCTAACTCTTGCCAATATTTTTGAGAGTACTGTGGGTGCGGAAGATGTCATGTCTAATCTTTGGAGTTTTGTGAATCGCTCTTTTATCTTGAACAGCTCAGGTAAATTGAAGCAGGCTATCTCTCTCATCTTCTCTCCCTGGCCTGTGTTAGGGCGGAGTTTCAGACCTTATCTCAGTTCTGTGGGGAGTGTGATACTTCGTTCTTTTAATATGGTGAGATCTCAGCCTTCCGGAGTACTGTGAAGTATTTTGGAGTCCTTGGTAGACAGTCTTTTGTTAACCAAGAGTCTCTGGGCCATGGCTGTTTTATACAAGATACAGGGCTAAATACTTCAAAAAATGAAGTAGGGTAAAATGAATTATGGTATGTATGCTTCTTTCAAGACACAGAAGGTAGGTAGATCAACTTGCAAATTTTTGGGGCAGGAGAAAGGGATTTAAAGATATGATTTGAATGCATATCTAAACTTCTGTTTATCTAGTACCTTAAGTGTGAGATGATTTAAAAGGAGATAGGTAGTTTATTTAAAAAACCCTCAAAATGCATTTTTTTCACAGAAGTTTCAAGAATATCTCTGAGGAGAGGTAATAATTTTGCAGTGGAATGCCAATTAATTACTAGCTTTATGTGGTTTACATGGACAGATTTTGATAGTGGTTGAGTTTACAGGATTAGGTTCTGTGAGAAGCTGCCAGAAGCTTCCCCCAYTGTCCGACAGKGCCAATGCCAGCTGGCCAGGGCCGAGCCCATCAGTGCTGGTGGGTAATGCCTCTGGGATAACATCTTCAAGAAAGGGGGGTAAAAAAGCCCCTTCACAATAGCAGCTTCAGCCAGAAAGAGAGGAGCGAAAGTGTGTGAAAGGAATAGCCCTGCAGACACCAAGGCCAGTGCAGGAGAGGGAGAGGGAGGAGATGCTCTGGGTGCCAGAGCAGAGATTCCCCTGCAGCCCATGATGAAGGACATGGTGAGGCAGCTGTGCCCCTGCAGCCCATGGAGCACCAAGATGGAAAAGAGATTCAGAGAAAGATCCCTGGAGGGCCTCATGCCAGAGGTGAGGGATATCTGAAGCAGGTTGTGACCCTGTAGGAAGCCTAAGCTTCCTGGAACAGGCTCCTGGCAGGAGAGAGGAGCCCCCACTGGAGCGGGTTTGCTGGCAGGAGTTGTGAGTCCATGGGGACTCACACTGGAGCGGGCTGTTCCTGGAGGACTGCACCCAGGAAGGAACCGTGCAGGAACGATTTGTGAAGAACTGCAGCCTGTGGAGTTCATGGAGAAGTTCATGGAGGACTGTCTCCTGTGGGAGGAACCCCACTCTGGAGAGAACGTGAGGAGCCCTCCCCATGAGAGGGAAGGAACGGCACCTGGGGCCTTTATCACCTGGGGCCTTTATCACCTGGGGGAGGAGGTAGAGAAAAATCAGGAATAAAGTCAAACCCAGAAGACAGGAGGGATGAGGGGAAGGTGTTTTAGGATTTGTTTTTATTGCTCATTACCCTGCTCTGATTTGATTGGTTATAAATTACCTGTCCCAAGTTGAGTCTGTTGCCTGTGAATGATTTCTCTCTGTCCTTATCCTGACCCAGGAGTCCTTTGCTGTATTTTCTCTTCCCAGTCCACCTGAGGAGAGTGATAGAGAGACTGGCATCCAGCCAGGGTCAACACAAAACACTAGTTGAACTCAGGAAAATCCAGACCTTTCACTTGTCATATCCTGTGCTTAAACGAACTGGAAGAACAAAAACAAGCTATTAGAAACAGTAACAGCATAATGACACACATTTGTTATTTCTGTTCTTTAAAAATACTAAAAGAACAGATCTGATTCCGCCTGCTTGTGCGTTGAACACATATGTACATGCACATATATGAAGATATATATGCACCTTGTATCCTGTGCTTTCATGGGGTTACAACTTTCTACTATATCATCTCTGTTGATAGGCCCTTGAAATAAATGATTTTA